CTTCTACAAATATAAGCTCGTTTTAATACGACATCATTGCTTAAAGGCTCGTGTAGAATATTCTTAAAAATCCGCCGCAGGAAAGCATACAAAAAGGTTAAGAAATTTATAATTTATCTTTTATAATAAACCGGGTGCAAGTTTAAGACAGGAAGATTCCTTGTACGAAGGAAAGGGATCGTGCAGTGTCGCGTTAAAACTGTTCTCAGCGGGTTTCTGATATCTACGCGGGTGGACGATAAAAATAGAAGTTGCGATTAATACGACGAAATCAGATAAAATTTCATTTTTGTGAAAAGGTGCTCAAGGACCTTGTGCATTTTGATAAAATTATGTAGCAGCCTCTTTTTCTAACATTATAGACATAAAATATGTGCATATCGATGAAACACTCAAACAGTCAATCTTACAAACGCTGAGTTAACAAGAGGTTGTAAAAGGTATAATGTAGCTTAGCCATAGTCGAAGCAGTAATATTTCGAGCATAAATTCATTTATAAACAGCAATTTCTAGTCGTTTTTTTCACTGGGAATTATCAATAGGCGTCGGAAAGATATTATAGTTAACACATACACGCCGCTACATCGCGGGGCACATTAAGTACGAATGTTCAATCGCAAGCCCTATTGCTTAGCTAAAAGCAGCGATTCTTATATTGTTAAGGCTGATTATTACGTAGCACGTAAGTGATATCTAGGCTCTAGCACAGATATTTTTGAGGGTAACATAGTTATTGTGCACAGGCTCAAAACAAACAAAATACTAGGAATAGAACCTTACACAACCGGTTGGGTGCAATGCACACTGCTCACCAAACTTATAAAATACGTGAAATGTCTCTTATATCGTCGAATAGCGCGACAATCGTTATCACGGAGGCAGTCAAAAAAGCTGCTCCATGACGTAGCACTCAATGGAGCACCCCGCACAGGGGACACTGCGAAGGTCAACGTAAACTACAACCGTAAATCCAAAGGCGCGACATGCGCAGAGTTTCGGTTTTGTCTTTCTTTTCGCTCAGTGATGACTTTAAAGTGAACGACGCGGCTGTGGCTCGAGCGAGACATGGAGAAAGGAAGAGGAAAAAAAGGAAGACGCGCGAGGGCCGTGAAGAACGTCGGTTGGGCATCGGTTCGATCTGTACTGTAAATAGACGTTCCTTTTTATTCCTCTCTACTTCATGGAGTCCTGTCAGTCATTTTTATGACCACCAACATCCGCAGACCATCGACGTTCTGTCATCGGGTCCCTGACGCAATCGTAAGAAAAGAACGAACCTTCGCTGACACCGCTTGCTGAAAGTTGAAACTGTGGTTGGACTGTGGACAATGCGATTCCAGCACTCATCTAAGCACCGTAGTGCAACGGGTGCGAAAAACGCGGAGAAGGCGCGGCAGACAAAATTGCTGCATTCCGTGCGATCCAGCGGACATTTCGGCTCTGAGTGAGCGGCCTACCCTGCTCGGGTCTGCTCCAATCACCGCTACGTCGTGAGCAGTTTTTTGGCTGCATCAAGTGTAGCGATTAGACAGAGTTCGCGGGTTCTGTATCATTCTGGTGAGCACCATACAGGCATTGGCATTCGAGTAACTAATATCCGAGACAGATTACCGCCTTTATTTTCCTTCGTCGTCAACTCTTCATTGGCGGAGGAGAGGTCACCTGCGCTAAAGTTTACTTTTGAGCTTGCGAGGAAGCCGCATTGGGGAGCGCCGGGTTTTGGGCGGGACATGTGTTTTGCTTTTGCGCTCGCGAAATGTAAAGCTTGCACTCAAGTACGACGAGTAGGAATCTTTGTGAAGCTTCGGACATTATGTGGACTACGAAAACATTAGTAAATACGTTTTCTTTTTTTTTCAGTTTTAAAGTGGTTCTGAGCAAGCGGACGACACAATGACTACTACAACCAAGCCATGCGAACGCGCATTTTTGGGTCCGAGAGATACACGACGGCGCATCCGCGCTGAACCACCACCTCAAATCGTTCCAGTCGTCTCTTCTGCAAAAGCGATGGTATCTTCTCCTGCAGTATCTGAAGTCATATATTTGAGACCGCTCCAATGCTCTGCTCCGCAAGCAGTGCGCGTAGAGCTACTTTAGTTGACATAAAAATTCGGTCTGTGTAATTACACGACCCGGCGACAATCGCAGGCCCATTTTGACGCGATAGCGTTTAGGAGGTAGTGTCACAAAAGTTCGGCGTCGTCGTCGGCGTCGGCGTCGGTGGGGCCAAAAAATCCTATATGGCAAACGGTTGTAAACACGCGTCACGCCACCCTTGGCTGTGATGTCACGACCTTATCGACCCGCTAAATCTAATGGGAAACATTTCCGCTAATAGGCCATATGCGAAATTTGGAGCGCCATCTAGTAGCGCGCCGAGAACTACGTCCGCCATCTTATTAATGGCGAGGAAACGAAACCAGAGACCCGACCGGCAGAGACCCCATGTAAACAAGCAACCGCGCTTCGGTCGAGAGATGCGATGCCAGTGATTGCTGCGTTCCGCTGCGGATGCAGCGATAAACCTTCGATTCATGCATGACGTGAACGTAAACGAGAACAGGGTTGACCTTTTTTGCTTATTTTTATTTGTCACTTGAGACGCAGCTTTTGACAAAAACAATCGGTGACAACGCGAAGAAACATGCGGACCTTATCGCGCGGCTTGAAGCCATTTACAGCTATTGAAATGGGCCCTGATCATTTTTTAGGAGTTGTACCAAATTTGTTTGTGACCTTTTTTATTTTATTTGCGTTGTAGTGTCGGCCTGGCCTTTTTCTCGATGCGCAAGCAGCTCAATGCATGCGGACGAGACCAAGGATGTTAAGCGAGGCAAAAATATGGCAGTTTTTATAATATGCGCCACCAACCATAATTGAAGATGCGTATTGTTAACAGTGGTATGGTTAGGTCACGGTGTGGGTTAGGTTCATCGCAGTGGCTAAAACTTCGATATCGGCGGCGGCAAAAATTTACGTTGCGGACGTCGAATGAAGCAACACGGGCGGTGCCAACTCGATTTTACAACCTCCTTTTCTTTTCTTTTCTTTTTTTTTTGTTACAGCCGAGGTAGAAATTTTGTTCTGTGCAAAGAAGCTCGGGGATAGTTTTGAGACAGTCACTGCAGTTATTCTGCCAGGGTTGTACAAATCTTCATTATTAGCGCAACATCCATCAACTGTGCTTGAGGTCAATGCTATTTGAAACCAATTTTAGCCCTTTGCAACGCTTGAAAAATATTGCACCGGGGCAGTTTCCTTTAGAAGAGCACAGCATGTTCCACCGAAAACCCTCCACCAATAAGAACAAAAAAAAAAAAAAAAGAGAGAAACTGATTTTGAGTCATGTATTAGCGTGGAGCAGTATACCGCTAAACAGTACGACTTCGAGCGTATTCGCATCGAAGAAAAGAATTAAAAGTGTTTTCATGGATGAAAGGCATGACGGCCTAGTCCTTTCGGAAGCCTGTGCACATACTGGCGACCACAAGCTTCCACAGCGAAGGCCTAGGACTTGGTCCGCTGCATCGACGAGGTTGTCGCCAGCGTGCACAGGCCTCCGAGTTTTGTCAGACAGTTGCGGTAGGTTGTTTTAACTGTTCGTCCGCATAATATTGTGGGAACGCGGAAATCAGTTGCTGCGCCATCGCACATTGCCCATACGGCTGTCTCCGATGCCTCCACCGTGCTTCGGTACCGAGAACACTTGCCAACCTTAAAATGGCGACACTCTCAGTGTTGTCAGACATCAAAGCAATTTCGCATAAGGTCTATTATGGCGGTAAATGTTGCCGCTAAATATAAGAAAAAAGCTTTCAGCCAAATTTAGAGCGATACTAAAACCCCAAATTTAGCAGACAAATTTCCCGGCAAATCTAGCAAACTATTTTCCCCCAAAATTTAGCAGACTGTTTTCCCGAGACATATAACGGAACATCCTTCTTTGCCACATTTAGCGGACAATTGTTCCGCCAACTTTGGCGGGAAAATTTTATTGGAACCGCGTGACGCCACATGAGATGTTACGCTACCCACTATGCCCCGTTTGGCCTTACGTTGGACCACAGCGGACGTTACTAGAGCCGCCTCAACCAATCCAGCGCTGTGGAACTACTATCACGTGACAACGCAGCCGCACCCCACGTATCTCTGGGTCCCTCTTGAAGGTCACGTGGCCCTCACACGGCACTGGATTGGCTTTGATACGGCTCGTAGCGTTGTCTGAGGTCCATCGTGAGGTGAAACGGTGTGTAGACCACGCGCACACGCTTCAACAGCGTGGGAATGAGCGCGTGTTTAATGTTAAGGCTTTGCAATCGGGGCCCGATAACGTTATTGCTTCCCACTCTGAAAGCCCAAGCTTAAGCGGCCCCCAAGTTCTTAGAACGCAGCTCTTAGGCGCCCGTTTCCGTGTTTCGCGGCGTCGGTATCGCCGTCGGCGTCGGTATCCCCGTCGGCGTCGGCGTAATCGCGCTAAATGCAGCGGAAAAATTGACGCCGCGCGACCTCGACACCAATTCAGTTTCCTCGCCAAATTTAGCGGGGAAACTGACGTCACATGACTTGGTGTCACGTCGGCTATGAGCTAATTCTGTTTCTTTGCTAGATTTAGCGGGAAAATTGATATCACGTGACCTCAACAGCAATTCAATTCCCCGCTTCGCAACCGACTTAAAAGCGCCCAACAGATGAGGTCAGAGTAAGAAACACGTATGACAGACAAGCGCTTGTCCATCGTACGTCTTTCTAACTCTGTCGGCGTTTTTTTGTGCACTTTCCAATCAGGATTTGTAAACGTCTTTCATGTTTTCACATATGGCTCATCTGCCTTCTCCGTTCTCGAAAGCACATTCTACATTCCGCTCCCCACTCAAGCTTGTGACAAAAAAAAAATCTTTAACGGGTCAAATGATTCCAGTTCCTCACTGTAAATGACAAAAGCGTACTATTCTCACTGGTCAGGGAGCAAAAGGAAGTCAAGAAATAAATCGGTCACCTTCAATATTCCGGAATACGTCAGTATAATCGGATTTTCTTCTCCCCGCTCTACGATCACTTCGAGAGGGGCGAAGGACACTGGGCGAATCTTTATCTGCACAAAAATGTAAGACGAAAAATAAGGCTTTCGTCGTGCAAATGTAGAGTGTAGAGAAGGAAAATAAGACACGGGACAGTTACCGCTAGGAATTGCCGTACTGTGTCTGAAGTAATCCAGGGTATCACGCGGAGCATGGCAATGGGTTTGTAGCTTGTGGGCAGACTGCACGCCTCGGCGATGATGGCCATGTTTTGTGCCTGGATTTTCTGCGAAAGAAAATAGACACGCAGCGCTCCTTGAAAATCTTTAGAAGCAAATCAAACAAGTTTCATGTAACGTTTTTCACGGCGGAGCTCTTAGGGGCTAGTTTCCACAGTATTTTGTCCGTGGGCAAATAAATCTCGACACAAAACTCTGGACAGCAATCGCCTCTATAAGCAACGGCGACCTTTCCAGCCTTTCCACTCTTGCTTGCCGACTTCCGGCCGGCCATTACTTCATTCCCACCATAGTACAGCTTCGCTGGTATTGCTGCACCAGAGAGGAAAAGCCTGAAAGTTTTTTTCTCTTCAATTTCACGTTGTGTTTCATGTGAGGCATCTGCGGGGATTATTCATAAATATAATTTTGCAATTAGAAAATAATTTATTCTTTTAACAAAACAATGCCACTCCTCACTCGGTGCTATCTTTAACAAGGCGAGAATTATAGACAGTATTAAATGTTTAGCGCCAACCAATATAATCGAAACCACTCTAATCAATGATCCCATCGTAGATGGTATTGAAACAAATTGGTGGGGGGGGGGGGGGGGGGGGGGGAGGGCAACTCAAACGTAAAGGTTCCGCAAGTAAAGTTCTTTTGGGCGTAGCGTAGCTACTTTTCTAGATAACTGGATATGCCACGTCATTGCTGGTCAGCCACGTGGGTTCGCTGCCTATCTTCTGAGACCCAACTGAGGCAATAGAACGCAAAAAATGAACTGCTCGGACCGAATTTAGTTGTGCGTTACGTTTCCGAGTGAACACCGCGCATGATCTTGGTTAGATTTGCTAGAGCTGCAGAATTCCGCGTGCTTATAGCGCAACCATGCTCCTGGAAAGAGATATGGAAAATGAAAACATGTCCAATCAATTTATTTCAAATTAAACCAAGCCGCAGCTGCCTCGTCCAGCGCGCTTTTCTGCGGGTTACAGAGGCTAAGAGTAAAGACCGGTTCAGACACTTGCTTTTGAGTGCCTTTGACTGCGTTGCGTCGAGAACCGAAAGCGAGTCACCGGCACATCTGTGCTTCGTATGAAGCGTGCAACCCAATTCAAAGAATCATCTTAGCACGCGATATAAGTAGCAGGGATGTCCTGGTTTCTCGCTGCGGCAACGCAGTCAAACGCAGTAAAACGAAACTGCCTGAACCAGGCTTAAGAGTGCGTAGCCAAATTCGATTACGGAGCCTCCGTCAATCGTCCCGTTGAAACGGCACCTTTTGTCAATGCTATTGCGGAATGCAATTCATGACCTACTGATGTCCAGTGCATAACGAGAACTTCGGCAATTTCTTTTAGAGTCGCTCGTCCGTCGGCGATGAACTGTGCGAATAGGCTTAGCGTTGAGCAGATCGCAGCGTTGACGCACATTCCGAGTGGCGAACATTTTGACTGTGCACTCCTTCAGCCGCACGACGATCTGATTTGACCGCGGTAGGTCCCAGAAAGAATTGCCGAGCTGAACACCACGCAATTTCACGTAACACAGAACTTCGAAAACACGACGTCTCCCTTGCTGCGCCAGTCGAGGTAACTGCCATCTTGAAACTGGCGGTCTCGTTGGGTCCGAGATCTCTCGAGAGCGTCCCGCAAAGCCCGCTAGCCCGCCTCGGAAAATCCCCAGCGTTGCGTGCGTACGCAATACGCTAGCTCTTCTACTGCGTTCTGCGCAAGCGCACTCACGACCCGTAATTTCCTTGCGTACGCAAAGCCATCGCGTACGGTCCACTAAAACTGTCTAATGTCGTTGGCCGTGATCCTGGCCTTGTCACTGCAGCAGTGGTGAATGTGTCAGACACCTGCTCTGCTGGAAAGTGCTCTCCATTCTGAGAGTTCAGAGAAGTTTCGGTCGCCAGGAGTTGAGGCGCTGAAACGACAGTGAGAGCGCTCACTCGCACTTCTTTTTTAGAACTTCGACGCCCACCCGCCAAGAGAGCAACATCCAGTTGCATGCCATTGCGGCTTTTCTGACGTAATTTGTTGCCACTTTGGGAATTCTTTTGAATGGGCAGAATAGAACGCTAAAAACACCAGTAAGCTACGCGTTCCGAACACCCTTTTTAATTTCCAATGACTTCCTTGTCGACCCGTCCAAAGCAAACCTCGCTTCTGTTTTGAACTTCATAGAGTATGCATTATAGCTTCAGTAGGAGGGTATGCACTTGGGCTAGTTGGTGATCCATGTTTGTGAGGGTAAAAGCGCTAAAAACAACGGACGAGTAAAAGAAACGAACAAAAAAGAGCGCTCTGTGTTGTACGTTTCTTTTACTCGTTCGTTGTTTTTAGCACTTTTGCCCTCACAAACATTATAGCTTCAGCAGAGATCATTTTAGGAACTCATCTTACGCTAAATTTAATTGTAGGAACGTGTCTGCTATTCCATTAAAAGTTAAACAGAGTTGATCATGCTGAAGAAGACCTTGGTGTACATAATCTGTTACGTACAAAAAACACAAACCGGATGTGATATTCGTTAGGCACATCCTCTTCACATCAGGATTAATCTTTTTGGGCACCCGTCATTTTCTTAGTGAGCTTACTGCTCATTGACCCAAGAAGTGTATACCATACCCGCTGTTTAAGTCACTGGATATATATAGTACTTGGTTAGAAGCCACTTACCCACGGGTTGAAGCACTGAACAGAGTTTTTTCTGTGCGTCCTTAAACTGGTCCTGGGAGCTTAGATACTTTATACTTGCCGTGAAACTATATGTAACTGCCGAATCTGACGAACAAGCGTAACTGACAGCCAGATATGACGAGTTTCTTTTATAAAACGAAAAAAGAAAGATGATGGTCTTTATATTAGACCGATCTCACCACGCATTCGACGCATGCGCGAGGCAGCCATAACTTTAGTTCATAGGAGGCAATCGGCAGTGCACGAGACTGTTCGTGGCCTGCACGCGCAGAGCTCCAGCCAGGTTGTCGCACGCGCAGAGAGACTAAACTTCCCTTAATGCATTGCGGCAGCGGTGGCGTATTCAAACTGGCTGGTGAGATCGGTCTATTGTGCGTGTTATAGATTATAATCAACGAGCTCTGCCTCCTACTTCATTCTTGATGGCTGGCAGCATTTTCGAAATAAAAAAACACGAATAAATACGTAATATAAGAGTCACCAGAGTTTAGTTAAACGAAAAGCCTCTTGGCCACGGTCACTGATATTAGGTGAATGTACATACATTTGGTGTGCTCTTTAGCAATCGGCTTGTGTGCTCATTGGTGTTTATCAATATGCGAGAACCCACTTCCCTTCTGGGAAATACCCGCCCGCCGTAACCAGGTAGGTTTTCGTGACTAAATCTAAAACGCGCCCCCAGTCACTCCCTTTTTCCTTAGAGTGGAGTCCTTTTGTCGTCTTGATTGCACCAATAAATAATTTTTCTTAGCATCGGCTGTAGGGAATGGAAAAAACTAGGCGCCAGAATGACTATCAAAATATTAAAAAAAACTGCCATAAACTGTCTTGTGTAAGAATGTTGGATGATTCTACACTTCACGTTTATCATTTATTTTTGTTCAAGAGGGCTTTGGCCGGGGGGGGGGGGGGGGGGGGGTGGAGTGGGTGCGTAGGCTGAATAGAACTGTTTCTTTTTTTATTTTTGTATATTATTTATTCCTCCCGATTTCTTTGGGACTTCACGTTGTATAGGCACGAACCAGTATACTACCTTCTTTTCTAGAAGAGAGTCAGTGAAAATACACGGTAGCATATATGTTGTATTATAAATGTATCTATTTAACTCTAACATCTCCATACCTCGATCATCGCAACCACGCTTCTAGGGTGTTTGAGCTGGAGAGATTTGAATGAAGTTCCTTAATAGCTCAGTTTCTTTCCACTAGGAAGTATTAAGTTTTTTTGTTGTTTTTTTCAGGTGAAGCTCTTGCATTTAAAAAAATCAGGTCTTAGACTTTATTTCAACATTCTGAAAACATACAATTAAAGTAACCATGCAACGATATTTGGTTGGAATGCTGTTTACTTTACACCAACTTATTCATTCTGGTTTAATCCAAGTAAACACGTACGTAAAGCCTTTCGCCAAGAACATTTTTTTTTTGTGTGTGTCACGGTAAATTCTCAAGAATAAAACATGGTGGCGTAATAATGAGAATGAAATTATTGACGTGGTCACAGACGTATCCTATGTTTACGGTATACAAATGCGACTCGCAGATTGAACCCGAGCACTGCGTGAGCACTCGACTAGGACTCGTGAGAATGAATGCGTCGTCGAGCAGTCAAGTTCAGTCACTGAAATGCCGGGAATAGCCGGCCCACAACGATGTTGGGAATTCTGCACGTGCCTTGTGCTTGCCAACACCAGTGCATGGCTCTGATGAACATTGATGACATAAAATCGGTACCAGGTCATGAGGCCGTATGTTATGGCAGCGAGTTAAGGGAATATACTCTGATCGTGCTTGCCTGCTGTTACTCTGCGACTGCCACTGAGCAGTAGAAAATAAAAAACGAATACCTGTTTCTCAGTTATTCGTTAATAATTCTTTGTGATGTTTACTACAAGTACAAAAATTATGGCACACCCCTTTATCTTCTAAAGATTGTGAGCTTCCACTCAATCTGCGGTCGAAGTTTTTGTGGGTGTATATTGTTTATTTGAAGTCAATGTTATCAGAGAAGGAAGTTGACTTTGTAAAGAAAGTGTGGTGATTAAAATTTAGTAGCTGTGTTTCAGACGTTTTGGCTGGCCCATTGTTTACTCCGTCTCTTGTTTTAGTATATTTTCTACATTAGCACATTTTGTTTGAAAACAAATTGCGCTAGAAGAAGCAACTTTGCGTTTGAGATAGAAAGAAACAAGTGTGTCCATTGGACGTACCTTGCGCCCGACAGTTTAAGTCCACGGGGTGCAAGTGTGTTTTATATTCTCTCATAAATCACTATTGAATCTTACATACTTTACCTAAGCACACTTCGATTGATGCTGCGAAGTCAAAGGCTTTATCCCCGCTATATCAATGAAGGAACAGGAGTGAGTTGTATCTTTTTTTATCTTCTTTTGAAAACCTAGTGACATGTCGTGTGGAGGCAAGGTTAGAGGTTTGATGTGGGGAGGCAAGGTTAGAGGTTTCTGTACTGAAACGTCGCAATGGACGCCGCTGTGAGTACATTTGCTGCATATTTAAGGCATTTTGATATGACAAGTTGCAGCATATTCAAGTTTATGCACGCAAAAAAAACAAAAAAACACAACATCACAGTTTTAAAAGTAATAAGACGTAAGTTTTGTAATTTTTTATAGCCGCATGATACGGATGTTATGTTCGTTCACAAGAAGAACTGGCCATTATCATTATCTTTTTGAAACGATAGGTTTCCTCGGGATGCGAAGTGTTTATTTGACTGAATTTTACTTCACTATTTGAAGCATAAACTTAAAACTTTGCAAGTCATTTTTTTTTTTCCAACTATAAATGTGCCCTGCAAAATTCAGACAAAGAAGCCTAACGTTTACACAATTCGCCTTCCTGAGTATTAGTATACAAGGTGATTCAAGGAGAGGCTAGGCTCTTTAAATCGACCTCAAAATTCGGTTTCTTAACCCATCGCACTACGAATTTGTGCAGCGTTGCCCACAGATGGTGCTTTTTCTTTTTTTGTAAAATTTGCGAAGAGCGACTTTACCTGAGGAAAAAGTAAAGAAAGAAAAAGGCTTAGCTCCTATTTAAACGCAGCGAAGCCACCGGTCTTCAACAACACGGCCCCGTTTCACACGGGAGACAAGAGATGGCCCAACGAACGCCGCCTACGAACGAGCGTACGGCGCCGAGAGCCGTTGTCTTTAGCAGATGATCTTTTCAACTCAAAAGCGGCGCGCGTTCCGCAAGCGGCAACAGTCGCAGAAACAAAAACAGGCGCGGTAATAACAAGGAACTGCAGTTGCCTGTGTGCTAAAGAAGCCGGCTCTCGGCGTCGTATGCTCGTTCGTTGGCGGCCGTTGGCGTCGCGACCGCTTCCGCCATCTCTTGTCTCCCGTGCGAAACGACGCCGTGCTGTTTGAAGACCGGTAGCTTCGCTACGTTTCCATAGGAGCTAAGCCTTTTTCTTTCTTTACTTTTTCCTCATGTAAGTTCGCTCTTTGCAAATTTTACAAAAAAAAATGCACCATTTGTGGTCAACGCTTCACAAAGTCGTAGCGCGATAGGTTAAAAAACCTAATTTTGCGTTCGATTTGAGGAGCCTGGCTTCTCCTTGAGTCACCCCGAAGAGTGTGCCTTGCCAGCAAGACATGCTCGAAGAAAGAGTAAGTAAACGGGCGAGCTGATTAATGTTACAGCTATTTAAAAAAACGAGAAAAAAAAAAAACGGAGACGCCGAACGTTTGCCACTTCTACGTCCGTCGTCTCCGCTCGTTTGTCTCCTTTTAAATAACCTTGTTTTTCTATTTTTTTTTTATTTTTGGGAATTCGGATTGCCGTTAAGTAGAACGACCTCACGCAACATGAACCTGCTCTAAGTTTATGGCCGAAAGAACACATATGCGGCACTAAAATGATACAATTGTACTCTCTTAAATGGCAGAAAGAGGAACAATTAATGTGTAATTTTATATACATTTACCTTCCTAGGCGCACCTCCCGTCAAAAGTGATTGACCTATACTTCGTTTCATCATAAGTCTAGACAAATCGGACGCTTCTAGCTAATGGCACGCCATTGCTGAAGGTGTTCGTCATGTTTCTATACGCGTTTTGTCAACGCTGGACCAAACATAAAAAGAAAAGACCTAGTGGCTTGCACTTTTCACGCTGCTTGATTGGTTCCATTATCTCGTAGTGCCGGCTACTTCTGGACTTAAGCTGAAACAAAATCTAGTACAAAAACATAGAAACTCTAATTTATAAACAACGCAAGCTTTTGCTTATGTCCGTACATTATAAATCTTATTTGACTTAGAGTATGACACATTAAGTTTAGATGGCACAACGTAGTTTGAGCATTATCGTGTCAAGCCCAGCGAACACCACCTAAACAGATGGCCTCCGCATGGTCGCCTCTCCCGCTATGAAACGTCATCAGAGTCCGATGGCGCTAACTCGGCTCTGGGGCCCAAACCCGACCTTCGACGCTGTGATTGGACACAAGCCCCAGCCGGACAATGACAAAGCACTCGTGGCCAATCGCACGGCCTCAATCGATCTGACTGTGATGACGCTTGCAGAGGCCTTCTGTCTAGGTGGTGTTGGTCCAGCCTGCTCCCGTAACATACCATTCGTATCAGCTTGTAGTCTTCCGTGTCCAGCTGCCCGTCCTTCTGCATGTCGATAAGCTCCTTGCTCAGGTCGTTCAGAATGCTCGTGCTGGCCTGGCGACTGCGGAAGGCTACTATGATGTCCGGAAAGCGAGACTGCATAGAGGCACTCCTCTGAGCATGATGCGATAAAACTTATGAATGACGCATGCCTAACCCAATCAAAACGAGAAAATGATTTTACGGCCATGTTCCTGCCGAAAGAAAATTTGACTTTAACATTCGAGAAACCGAAGATACAAATAACGGAGAATAATTAAAAAGGAATAATAAACGTGAGGAAAAAAATCCCCGGAGAAAGGGAACGAGAGGGACAAAGGACAAACACAGATCTCCAAATACAGCTAGCTGACAGGTGCGCGACCGAAAAAATCCGCCTGGTACGGGTATTGAACCCGGGTCATCTCCATCCCCAGTGGAGTGCTCTACCTTTGTCCCTCTTGTTCCCCGTTTTGAGGGATTATTCTTATCATTTTTGTTCAGCTCTATTGCACCTTTGCTTTTATTGCATTATAATAGTAAACGTACCGGTTTTCTTGTTAATTACAAATCTGCAGTGTCACATCTTTCCCAGGCGCATTGGGAAAATACTCGTATGTTCAGGCTTCCGGATGTTCGATAATCCTTATATTCATTCATAAAATAAAATCTTATAAATAAAAGTATGTAAATTTTACTTTGTTCCCTTTTTTGCTACATATTATCGCATCTCGATCACCGCCAGAAGATAGGCATACAGTCATGTAAAAGTACGACAGTTAAGTTGTTTGTCCTTTCGGTGGTGTGGAAGGAAGGTTCCACTCCTATGGTCTAAAGCGTGGTGGCGCGAACGTCGCTGAGTAAAAGGTCAACTCACTGCTTCTATTGAGCTATTAGCATTTATTTACACTTGTCCAACTCCAAGTTACAAGTCCCAACTTGGGAGACCATCCTCCCTCGACCAGAGCCTCGGCCAAAGTCCAAACCAAAAAGTCCTCCTCTCTCCCCAGTCATAGGTGTTTGAGGGCGCTGAACCCCTCACTCTCAGGTGAGTGTCAACCAATCATTTCAAAGTTTTCTGGAGCCACGTGACGTCCACCGTCCAATAGCTGGCAAGGGTGTCGACTCCATTCGTTCACTTGCCAACGGACTACAGCCGACAGCTCCTTAACATCGTCCATGCATCCCGTTGCAGACAGAGCGGCGCCTTTTCGGAACCCCCCGGTTGAAACTGAAGAAGCCCCGTAGAGTGCACAAGCCTCCAGATTAAAAATAAACACAAAAAACAACCCTTTCTGAGGGGCCATCGAGGGGGGGGGAGACACAGGAAGACGCTTTCCAAGGGGGACGCGTCAACGGAAAGGCGCACGCGGTCACTCGTTAGATAAACACAACCACACAAAATGACCCGGGGGGGAGGGGGGGGAGGGGGGGGGGGCATACATGATACACGCCGCCAGACAAGACGACCGTCGCGCGGCCGATCGAGAAACCGGCCGTCTTCCCCAGGACCCTTACACAGCTCTTCGAACTCAACCATACTTTTCACAATTAATCGCTTCGAACTCAACTATACTTTTCACAATTAAATATATATATAATTTCAATTAGATTGGCGATTACCTCAACTCAAGGAAACAGTTCGGGTTAATTAACGGTGTACAGTACTCTTTATAAAAAAAAATATTATCCGTAGTCCCGCAGAGGTCGTTACTCTGACCTCTCTTGTGTTTAATATCTATTATCGATATAGATCATACCATCTCTTCATAAATTCGATTATATGCAGATGATTGAATTTTGTACAGTGATGCTGATTTGTTTACTCTTCAAATCAATTTAAATACCGTTGATGCATGGCGCATGCCTCTAAATGTGTCTACATTTTTTAGCGTCAGATTCCCTACAAAAACCTACATTGTTCCTTCCTCCTGTAGTATTGGTGGCGTTTCACTTGAACAGGCGTCGGAGGTTAAATATTTCGGAGTCATTTTTTTGTGTATTTATTTCAAAATAAAGATGCCCACTACGTTACAGCAAAAGAAAACCTGTCATTTGGATCTATTAAACGCAATCTTAAGTTTCCTTCCACATCTCTGAAGCAAGCGCAATATTTCTCTCATGAACTGTCTGTCTTTGACTAAGCCAGTGACATTCGGGATTCGTTCAGGCAGAGCCTGGTAGATCAAGTTGAAAGGATGCTTAATGGTGCTGCAAGATTTCATAAGGGTGATCATGATTACAGAGCTACAAGAACTACACTTAAATTTTCTCTAAATTGGATACCTCTGAGTCAAAGGCCGAAATTTCTCCGTCAGAAACTTTGACAGAAAATGGTTTACTACGATACCGGTATTAGTATATCCAAGTACATTTTTGAACATGCCTATGAATCAGAAAGTGGAGATAATTTTCATTGCATAATTGATGCTAATTGATGAAAGGATCATTTTCATGGCAGAATTGATGTTTTCAAGTATTCCTTTTACCGGCGGTCCATTCACGATTGGAATAACCTGCAAAGTGATATTCTTGAAACAATATTGTCGGAGCTGTTTCTTCAAAATGTTGAAGGATACGTCTATAATCACCGTTATGCATTACTCATTAAATTTTTTACTTATTGTATTTTTCAATTTTACTTTGTGTTTTAGTGTGCAATGTTCTGTCTGTGCCCCCCCCCCCCCCTTTTCCTTTTTTTTCTATTTTGCCTCTTTAGACCATGTATGTGTTCAAAATAAACAAATAAATATACCCCGATCTACGTTTTCATGAAATCACCTTTCATCGTCAGTGGTAACTTCGTTTGGCGTCTGGCAGCCTTGAAATGATTTGATAACATGAACTAATTGGCCCAAATTTCCACTTTGCCTTGAGCCCTGCCTTAACAGTGTTACTATTATATTCTTTTGCATACCACTAACGTTTTGCCCTTTGAAACTTTTTAGGTCTTTGCTTGTTTGATTTGCCGGTCATCCCCTCTTCACTACAATGCCCTCGTGGCCCTTCGGTATTTGAAATACACCATTCAATAAAGCCTTCTATCGCACAGCTTCCTAGTTTTTGAATTTCGGTGGTGAAACAGATAGTTTCACTTTTTCTCAAAGTAATATTACCTCCCCCCAAATTGTTATTTAAGACACATTCCTATCTTTCTGGAAACCCGTGTTTACCCAATATTTCTGGAAACACTCCCTATTGAGGCATGCATCTCCTCAGATGCAAATTATGCTGCATAACGGCCTTAAACGAGTTTTGTTTAAATATAAAGTGTTAAGCCTCTTTAGTGCCCGTAAAGCTATTAGAATCCAAGAATAAGTCTAACTATGGTGTAGCTGGGGACAAACTGTATGAAGCTGAAACAAGTCCTCCCGGAGAGATAGAAGACGAAAATATAAAATATTTTAAGGTATTCTGTTTCCATCACGAGGAATACAATTTATTTATACCAAGAATACAATTAATTTATATGATTTGTTTTTATAGCCTAACGATATTGTCATCAAGAATATTACAGTTCTTCATTATGCGGGGAGGGGGGGGGGGCTGGCAAACCTTCAAGATATTTATAATCTAGTCATAGGACCCAATGAAAAAGGAGCATGTTCAGTATAATAATGAAAACGTATAGGATACTGCGGCTAAGGATGGTTTTATTTATATTTATGTATCGCCGAACATAGTGCTCCCTGAAGAAAAAAACATTTTTGCAGTTGTTTGGATGAAATGGAGTTTTCAGAGCATTTTGCTGAGAACAACCAAAGCAGGACGCTAGAAACGAATGTCTGAGATATTTTGTTTAGATTTCATAGCCTTTTAAATTGCCCATCTGAGGTAACATAGTTTATGGGCTGCGTTTTCAACGCAAAACGCGAGGAGGTGACGTAACCAATATCAGAATGCATTCTACTCCACTTATTTGCATTGTACATCCTCACTACAGCATCACATCTTACCTTAGCAGTGTGAGAACTTCTCGCCGGAGAGAACGCATGCAGATCAGGCTGTATACGCAGACTCGCATTCACGCGCTGCTGAAAGAAATGTCTACCACCAGTGCACCTACACACTGCATTCGATCAAAACATCAAAGACGGCCGTCGCCGCGGTCTTGAGGCGTGTTCGCCACTAGAGATGGCCACAGTCATCCCTTGCAATTCAAAAGGAAAACCCACGATGCTGCGCGCCTCCAACCGTTCCAACTATGCAAAGCCTGTCTTATTCAAGGCCGCTGGAATTTCGCTTCGCGGAGTGGGGCGTATTCTCCTGGTGATCTATTTACGCAAACTTTGAGCGTCTCCAAGCTTTGCATCGCTCCCTTTCATACGCACGGATGCGCCCGTGCAACCAATATGAGCAAGAGGTACCAGCCAGTAGATAGCAAGAACATTTCAAGGATGGAATGGGCTTCCCTGTCAAGTCTTCTGTCGGTTGTTACAGGTTAAGAAAAGCAGTACAAGCTCCATTCATAATGCCCTCCCCCATTTTCCCTTTAGCAGAGCGAACTCTGGAGAGGAGACGAGTGAAGAGAATGAGGCTATTATTCATGGCTAGCGGAGACATTTGAGGGGGGAAGGGGAGGGGGAGGGGGGCGTGCCCTTGTTTTCCTAACGCGTTGCCACGAACTATGGTCCCAGAGTCCCGAAAATGAATGTGGCCATGCCTGTATCTCAGCCTGCTTCTGGAGTACCAGGAGCCTGTTGAGAGTGGCCCTCCCGCGGATCTCCATGGCCAGCTCGGTGGATTCTACGAACTTCCAGACGTTCCTCTGGACCTCTTCTTCACCGGTGACGATGGCGTGGCCCGCCTCGTACGCCGAGTAGATGACGGAGTTCAGCAAACGATGGACCACTTTCGTGAAGAACTGGACCATCAGCTGCAGAGGAAGAGAACAGCGTAATGAGGGTGCCACCAGATGTTGTCTTTCAGCTGAAGGCGCATTGTGTCGATAGAAGTGGAGTATCCATTTTACCGAGACATCACTGTAGCTTGTTCTGAGCTTGGAAAAACAAGCCAAAAGGTATGAGCTTGCTTGCAAGATCACTACAGTAAATAATGTTGTTGCTGGCGAGCTAAATAAGCATACATTTTAGCTTGCTGGCGCAATAACTGAAGTTAATTGTAAGCTTTCTGACGAAACAATTAAAGCGTATTCTAAGTTTGCTGACGAGCTCATTAATGATTATTCTGAGCTAGCCGGAAAATCTAATTAAAGCTAATTTCAAGGTTACTAGCGATATAATTAAAGCTAATTTCAAGCTTGTTGGGGGATAAGTAAAGCTTAATTTTAGTTTGCTGCCTACTATATACTTTAATCGGATTCTGAGCTTGTCGCGAGCTCATCAAAGCTAATTTTGAAATTAGAGTCAAGCTAAGTAAAGCAAATTCAGTGCTTATTTTTGAGATAAACAAGTCTAGTTCTGAGCTTGCTGGCGAGATAAATAATGCTAATTCTTCATTCGATTGCTTGTCTATTTAAATCTAATTCAGTTCCTGCTGACAAGACATTTCTCCTAAGAAATTATGCACCTTGCTCTTACAAAATTAAATGTTTTACAAAGAGCGATAACAAATAAAGAGGTGTGTATTAACTCCTTAACATTGCGAGTACCACGTTATAATACAAAATTATGGTAAGGTAAGTGTTTAGAAATATATTATTGTAAGTTATTTTGAACTCCAGACATTCCATTTTTCCATATTCGCCTGAAGAAGAAAAGATTGGAACCTAGAAGACCGTGAAAGTCAACTCATTTGGGCTCTAATTTCAGGCGTTGTTTAAGTAAATTAAATGTTTAGTCTGTATTGACGTCATACATATAAAATTTTGCGTTTTTATTTTTTTTTATTTATTGCATTATTTTTTTTTTCTAGAAGGTGAATATTCAGGTTCAAATTTTTTAATGAATGAAGATTTTTTTTTTGTTCGGTCATGCGTGCGGTATTTCCAATCAAGTCACGACCGTATATGTTCTTTCGTTTGCTGATCGCTGTCAGGATTGGGTTTAGATTTTCAAATCGTTTTACTCTGCTGTCATGAGCAGTGTTCAACTGCCATATGAACCGTCACAATCAGGAACCTAGGTGATTGAGCCTGAAGTGTGAGAAGACGAATTTGTAAACTTTTTTTTTCACAGTAGCGTGTATCACCCTTATAGAGATGAATGATGCATTTCTGGTTTAACCTTGATATGCTCATAATGATTCATAAAAAAAAAAAGAAAGAACACATCGTGTAATGTGTTCTATAGCCGTTCGAAAGGAGAAACTCACTTAAAACACCACATCAAGTTTTGTTTAAAAAAAAAAAAAAACTGCATAGCTTTCTATTATAATGTTTTCTGTAAACACATTGGGTTCCCAAAGGAAATTCGTCCTAACTGGAAGAAAATCTTTAACTGCATTCAAAGACGAAAGTTATAATACCTTTTTTTCTTTTCTTCGGTATATTGTTTTTTTGCGAAGGTGCTTGATTTTTGGTAACGGCCGAACGGAAAACACAACCCTGGGGTGTAGTTGCTGCATTTCAACTTGTCGGCGACGAAGGCCTTCGGACAAATGTGTTTAAAATTGAGGCGCAATTTGGCGTTGGGAAAAACATTTGTCTTTGAGTTGTGCACCTCATCGGCTCATCGTGGTGGATCATTTCAAGCCGACTTTCTGTGAACGGCTGTTATATGCGTACATTTAATATTTTTCAGTTTCTGATCGGCGAGACAGCTAACGCTTGTTGCGTGCATTCGCGCCCCAATGCGAGGACGTCCGGCGTCCGCGCTCAGCTAAAAATCCCGCTTCCCCAAGATGCCACCAGGTGCGGAGGCTAAGTCGATGACGCGCGGTCTGATTCGTGACCGAAAAGTCGGCGCAGCCTGATCCTCCACCGAGTTGACGGAGAAAGTGCGCAACGTTCATGTCGCCTCTCACCTTTCCAGCCCTAACGGTTTTGAACTCCGATCCGGGCAGGAACGGGGAACGCAGCGGGAAACGCGCGCCATCTTGCCCAGGCAGAGGCCGTCTGCCGGAGCTGTGCAGGAAATTGGGAGAGACTTGGATAGCCTTTATGGGCTTGGGACTCTACATCTTGATAGGGAGCTCGTGGTTACAATATGACCGAGAGTCTCGTGTGTTCGACGAATTCAGGGAGGGTGCGAAAGCCATCTTGAAGGCCGCGCCAGGTAGGCAAGTAAGATGTCTCGCTCGGTCGAGCCAGGGCTGTTGGACTCAGAGTAGGAATGCTTCGTATTGCCGCCTTTCTCGCAGTGGTAGCAGACATTTTTCAACTTTTCTAAACACTAGGCAGCCCTGAAAGGACCTGTCCAACTGATCGTTGATAGCCCTGTCAACAATAAGAAGAAATATTTAACTAAGGTCAGGAGCAAGGCAAGAGCCCATACAATCTCCCTTCTTTAGTATGTAAATCTTTCCATCGTATTCTGCTAAAGTGGACTGCAAATAATTACTTATCAGGTCGATGAAGCCCTACACCGAAACACCGAAGGAATATAAAAAGTGGAAAACTCCGTGCTCATGCATCGCCTTAGTCACATAATCTAAGATGAGTTTGGGTTCTAGGCTCTAATACATATCTGTAATGTTGAAAGACATAATAGACCGATGTCACCAAGCGAACTGCGCAGGCGCGCGCATTCCGGAAGTGGTTCCACCGCCATGCTACTTGTAGTCATTCCTTTCCGGCTTTACGCTTCCGGCTTCCCGGCTACACACGGCTGCGCGTACATCATCGTAGATTATCGTTTAAGACGCTCCGGTATCAGCTTGATTCTCCTGCATGTCTGCACTTCATGACATTGTGTTGTTTGCGATGCCTTAGTTTGCGAGCATCCGCAGAAAAGCAGTATTAGTCGTCTTATAGCTTTAGAATCGCTTTGTCGTCTGCTTCGTGGTGCCCGTGAACGCGTGAGCCCACTGCCATTCACGCGGTGGTCGCACAGCGGCCGCGGGAAAAAAACAACGACACCACTACTCGAGCATTCCGGCTGGTTGGACGTCTCAATTAACTTGGAAACAATGGCGCAATGGCAAAGAACAAGAAAATTCGAGGGACCATCGGCTCCGTGTCGCGCCGCAGAGCAGCAGCAAATGTGGTGGTGAAAAACTGTGAGGAGCGAAATAGACTTTCTCGGTGAGCAATAGTTTTCTAAAAGTTGTTTCATTCTGGCTGAGAGCCTGTGCAACAGGGTACAGATTAACTGCGGGAGAAGCCTGCACAGAAATAATTAGTGATCTACAGAAATGCAATGCCTGACGCGCCGTGACAATTGGCATCTGTCAAAAAGAAGCCACCATGCCAGATACCTGAAAGCTTAAGGTGGGGATGATTTTTCGTGCACAGTTTCTGATCATTTTTATTTTGTTTGCGCAAGCTCCAAACGCTAACAGTCACCCGATGAGGCAAAGCTTTTTTTTACGATCTCGATTGTTGTTAATGCAGAATGGATCAGTATTGAGGTTCGTTTGTTACATTTTTGGCGGTAAGTGTTGCACTTCTAAATTGAATTCTGTGGTGTTTTCACGTTTATATATATAAAAAAGTGAAGACTGCTTCCGAAAAAGTTGTTTTATTTCAAGCGATGCATATCGGGAATTTCTGCTCTTTCTTAGTGATTGTCGTGATCTTCTGAAGCACAGCTGTGCTTAAAACATGTCGTCACAATAATAGTTATAACCACCAAAATACATCGAGCAAAACGTGTATTAAAATGGCCTCCGCAAAGCAGTGCGAAGGTCTTATTTGAACAGACCGACGGATAGTCCGCTACGGAACGAATGCTCAGAGAGATTCCAGCGTACGGAACACTTTGGTCCGCTCTATGTCTCGTGCCCTGTAATCTTACACATTTTAGCTGACGTGCAATAGCGTGGATATAAATTATGAAGCCAACCGCGAAACAATATGTAAAACGCTCATTTTCCTGCCGCCCTGTCCGGTTGTGTTTACCTTTCTTTGCCATGCTTCTTTCTTTCGGGCAGACATAATATTCGAGGCCTATTTGCCTGGTGCTGTAAATATAGCTCCGTGGAATACAACAGGTGAAGCCACCAATTGAAAACCATGAGGAAACACCAGGCTAAAAGTCTCGTGCTAACCCGAAAATGTCCAAACGCCGGGCGTAGAATGCGCATTGACGCGGCCGGACCTACAGGTACCAGAATGCACTGCGGCAGCGGTGGCGTCGCGCAACTCCTGGTGAGATCGGTGTATTGAGTGAGCAATGGAGTGAAATTGAAGCGGGAGATTTTTTTAAACGAGTTTTAGACTCTGACTGGCTGAGAGAGGATGATATTGGATAAATGAATTTGTAGATAATGACCCATAAGTTTTTTCCTTAGAGCCAATTTGTGATTATGCTCCTGAAGGGAACTCCACCCTTGTGAGTCTTCGCAGTAAAGAACACAGACAAATGATGTGTGGCAGGACTACCAAACGGTTACATCCTCATTCCTCAGATCTTTTTTCGGCCTTCCAGCAGAGATCAGAGAAGCCAGTTCTCCCGTTCACTAGTGCTCACTCCAAGCCAGCTAAGCATCGCATAGTGAGGTCACTTTTCAAGTCCTCATTCTCCAAGCCGTGTACACATTTTTTAGAAAGTAGCCTCAACTTGCCGCATCAGAGGTTGGAAAAAGCAGGCCTTCCTGCGGACCTACCTCATTCCACTCTTGAAAGGTTCCTTCTCAAGAAAGAACATGCGCAAGTTGTTTCCAAAAAGAAAGATAGTTTTGTAGTGATTAACTACATGCTCAATTTCGCGCATCGTTTAACCCTTTACTGCACAACTTTTTATTTTTTCACAATTTTATTCCAGCAGAAGTAGAATACCACAGTTATCACAATACTATCACTAAAATAAATTTCAAAGTTTCGAAAAAATTTATATCGAAAAAAGATAGGTATGTTGCATATTTGCAACAAGATGGAAATAACGAAATATTTATAGCCGAATGCTAAAAATTTGTGAACCAGAGCCAAACTTGTATTTACAGACATCAGTGAGAGATGTGGCCTCATTTGCTTGTGTGATACAAAAGAAAGCAGTTATTCTTGCTTGTTGAGCACAGGTGAGTGCCACACTTAGAGCAGTAGCTCATACAAATGCCCTTGCATCCAGGAAACTTGCAACGCTGTCGCTTCTGACTCCAAAGCACCCAGTGGCCAACCTGAGCATAGAAGTATGAACAGTGAGGTTTGTAACACAGATTAATTCGCCAGTGATAATACCTGATCAATCCTGACATCTTGAGGTGGACACGGTGCTGAAGGACCTCTTGTCTTCTTCAGCTGGATGCCTTGCTCCACGGACTCATTGCTGGGCCTTCCCCTTTTCTTCAGTTGATTTTTTCCTGCTTTGCAGAGTGACGTGGCGAGGTCCACCTTGAACTCTGCTAATGGCATGAGCTTTCGTGTTGGTTGATCGGAAGTAGTCTCGGCATTCCTCCTGTACAGCAGCCAGGCATTTACAGCCGTCAAGTCGAGAATATGAAGAAAAATACGAAAGTACCATTTCTTCGATCGGAGCTGGGCGCGGTAGAGGGAGATCAGAGAGTCTAAGAGATCCACTCCTCCCATGTGCTTGTTATAAGCGCCTATCACCGACGGACACGGTATGTCGCGCCTCTCCTTTTCTTTTTGGCTCCACCTTGGCGCAGTTAGGACAGGCTCTGCCCCAACAAAGG